TGGTACCTGGCTGGCTCTCCCTAGCAGCGGCGCTCATATTTCAGCAGCGGCGCTGCGCCGCCACTATTTGTATATAGGGGAAACAATGCGGCTTATAGTCCAGTGCGGCTTATATATGTACACATCATTCAATTTAGCTGCTGCGGCTTATATTCAGGTGTTATATTCTGTCTGTCTTCTCACTGAATACAAGAAGCAAAAAGGAAAGGGAAGAATCTCAGGAATGAAGATTTTAAGGTCCAGATAATCCAATATATCTGTCATCAAAAATGCATCCACACTCTCACACTTCACCCTCCTGTGGGGACTTGCCTTCTCTCTGTTTTGAATGTTTTTAGGAGAGGCATTCATGGGATGTTCCCTCTACACCTGGCAGCTCTCAGCGGCTTCTCAGATTGCTGCAGGAAGCTGCTGTCCTCAGGTACATTCATGCTGACACCGTTTGTGTCACCAGAATCACCTCGTTGACATCCTAAGTGATGCTGATCGCATATTTTCTCGCAGGGTTTGACATAGACACTCCCGATGACTTTGGCAGGACCTGTCTACATGCTGCAGCCGCTGGAGGGTGGGTCATCATCCCTGCTCACATCCTTATTGTTTAATACCTGAGCATCTTCCTTTTTCCTGGTATTTAAAAGCATCCCCTTTCATTTTACACATCAGTCATCACTTTTTAAATGTGCCTCTCTTACCAGGAACCTGGAGTGTCTGAACCTGCTGTTAAACATAGGAGCAGACTTTAACAGGAAGGACAACTTTGGGAGGTGAGCCAAGCCTCTTTAAAATAAGACATATCTTAGGGAGTAGCGGGAAGGAATGAAGTCCTCCCTTGCATTAATAATATCTGCTGTTGACTCTCTGTTCCTCCCAGGACTCCATTACACTATGCATCAGCCAACTGTAACTACCAGTGTGTGTTTGCCTTGGTGGGCTCGGGGGCAAGCATCAATGAGCTGGACCAGAGAGGCTGCAGCCCCCTGCACTACGCTGCTGCAGCCGACACGGATGGAAAGTAAGATAACATCCTAAACCATGAGATTTTTAAAGGCATACTTTGTTATTACTTTAATGAAATATTTTACGCCATAGGGTACTACTGTATATAATGACTTTATTTGATAGCATACATACTGTGACATTTACTTTGAATCATTTTATACCTCACTATATGATATTTTTCTAGGCATACAATAATTTGTGTACATAAAATACAATGTTTTTTATGCAAAAAAGCAGTTGCAAAGGCTACTTCACTATCACTTTATTTTATGTTTTTTGTGGCATATTATACTTTTTATTTAATTTGTTACATCTTTTATATCTTACAATACTTTGATATTTATTTCATTATTTACAGTACTATGACATAATGTTTTTGAGATGTTCTATACTTTGACTTCTTTAATGAATTTTTTTTTTTTTTAGCATACCCCAGATTAAAGCAAATGGTATCAAATGATCCTCAGTGTCTGTTGGAAACATTTCTTTCCTCCCTTGTGTGTTTGCCAGGTGTGTGGAGTACCTGCTGAGGAACGATGCTGACCCAGGAGTGAGAGACGGACAGGGTTACAGTGCAGTGCATTATGCCTCAGCGTACGGACGCACACTCTGCCTGGAACTGGTGAGTACAGATGCCGCACGGAGAGATCATTCGATGCACTTCCCACAGACTGCCAACAAATGTGATCACTTCCATGTGCTGAAATCTGAAGCAGGACACTTCTCATGGTATCATAAAGAGCCTTTGTCTGTATTTCTTTCAGATGGCAAGTGAGACACCTCTTGATGTGGTAAGAAAGACATTTCAATGATTCACTGTAAAACAATGAGCCCTTACATAGATTGATTTTGTACGTGGCTCCCTCTGTTGGGCAGATCAGTGGTTACATCATCTGGTAGGCAGATTCATTTACTGTTAAACAACGTCTTGTTCTGCATTTGATAACAATTGCCGTGCATTCTTTCTAAATAATGATTTTTTTAATTCAAAACTCTGAGCACACACCTTATCAAACACCACTATTCTCTCTTTCAACAAACTGAGCTCATGAAGCAGTGTGACCATGGCCTTAGTTCTATGCAACTGTCATACGGCAGTGAGTTGCAATGCATGCAAACCTATTTCTAAAATGAATAATAAGGGAACCTTGTCTCTATTTCAGTTAATGGAGACATCAGGAACAGACATGCTGAGTGACTCAGAGAGCCAGGCCCCCGTCAGTCCACTCCACCTGGCGGTGAGTTTAGGGATTGTTTTCAGAATGTCTTTATTTGGCTGTTTGTCTCTCTCTTGCATACAGGCTTTCAATGCCATGTCTGATACCTATACACATAAAAGAAGTGTCTATTGGTGTGTGTTTCCCTTTGATTTAGGCGTACCACGGACACTGTGGAGCTTTAGAGGTTCTCTTGTCCTCACTGCTGGACGTGGATGTGTTCAGCCCAGAGGGCCGGACCCCTCTCAGCCTGGCCTGCTCCAAGGGTCACCAGGAGTGTGTCTCACTGCTGCTGCACCATGGCTCCTCACCCATGACCCGGGACTACGCACACAAAAAGACAGCTATACATGCTGCAGGTAAACATAGACAGTTACACAGAGCCAAATAAATCAGTATGCTTCACTCCACATTACTGAGGTTTATTTTATGCCTTTGAAAGTGGAGAAATGTTGTTGCTTCAGAAAAAAAAGTCCTTCTCTAGCATGTGTGTGTTTCTGTGTGCCGCAGCTATGAATGGCCACCCAGAGTGCCTGCGTCTGCTCGTGAGCAACAACGACCAAAACATGAATGTGGACGTACAAGACATCAACGGACAGTGAGTGTGTGCAGAGAGAAAGGCTTAGCTTTCACTCCGATTATTATTATTCTCATTGAGGAGAAGACTTTAACTAGTTTTATTTAAAGATGTGTGTTTTGTCATATTTCCCCACCTGTACAGGACTCCTCTGATGTTGGCGGTGCTGAATGGACACACAGAGTGTGTGTACTCTCTACTCAGTCAAGGGGCCACTGCGGAGCATCAGGACCGCTGGGGGAGGACAGCACTACACCGGGGGGTGAGACATTCACACACTTCCACTGACATGATAACCCTGAATATTCCCCTAAGGACAGTTCTATCTAAGGAGCCTGATACGACTGCCAATCTAAATGTAGAATGTGCAGCAGTACTCTGGTGGTAACTCATGTGCTTTCTGGCCATCAGATCAAAATCCTACCCTCAGGCTAAATAACTACAACATAAGGCTACAGTTTGAAATCAAAGGTTCCTTTTATTAATCAGAGCACTGAGGTCAGGCCGTAGTATGGTACTCTCAAAACACTAAATATATTTTTAATTTATGAATGATTTTTTGTTGAAATCAGCAGGGGGAGATGCGTGGGGAAAAGCTGTTTGCTTTTTGCTCTCTGTCGTTTCCTCTGCCTGTCGATTGCTACAATTCAGGAAATGGGATTAGGGCAGACATTTTGTCTTCTAGAATAAAGAGCAAGCAGGCCATGAAACATGTCTAGCTGTGTGTTTATTGATCTATTGCGCTCCTTTTCATTAGAACGGAAAGCACCATACTTTAAACAACATCTTATTTCATAATTGCATGCACTGTATCTTGGGCAATACTTTAGTTTTTATATAAAAAACCTTAAACAGAGGATGATCAATGAGCAAAATGAACCATACATATCACAACTATATACTAATAAATATATTTTCCAATTTTTTATTTTCTCTCACAGGCGGTGGCGGGCCAGGAGGAGAGTGTGGAGGCCCTCCTCCAGCGGGGGGCCGCTGTGTGTGTCAAAGACATCCGGGGCCGCTCCCCTCTTCACCTGGCCTCCGCCTGTGGCCGTGTGGGGGTTCTGGGGGCCCTGCTGCAGGCCACCCCCACCAACTCCCTCACTCTCACGCACCTCACTGACAACCAGGGCTACACACCTCTGCACTGGGCCTGCTACAACGGTACACAGCGGGACACACTGGAGGAACCTCACTGTTCCGTATGAAGCGACAGCAGGAGTATTCACATCTGTTCCTCTCTTTGTTTCTCAATCTGTTCTCTAGGATACGATGCTTGTGTGGAGGTGTTGTTAGACCACGAGGTGTTCAAGAGGATTAAAGGCAACCCCTTCACTCCACTGCACTGTGCTGTGTAAGACGTTGTGTACCTATTCATGTTTTTATGTAGATAGGCACTGGTCTGAAAGCTTCTGACAGTGTATGTTTTGTATTTCAGTATGAGCGATAATGAGGGAGTGGCTGAGATGTTAATTGAGTCCCTGGGCGCAGCTATCGTCAACTCCACTGACCCCAAGGGCAGGTGAGACATAAAAAAAAAAGCTAGCATGACATCATCTTTTTTTTTTATTAAAGCTGTTCACGTGCACAGGATCTGCTGCTGTATTGCCAACTGTGTTTGTGTCTTCATAGGACCCCACTCCACGCTGCAGCTTTTTCCGACCATGTGGAGTGTGTTTCCCTGCTGCTGAGCCACGGTGCTCAGGCAAACGTAGTTGATGCACACACTTGCAGCACACCGCTGATGATGGCAGCTCTAAACGGACAGACCAATACTGTGGGTCAGTATAAACTGACAAATAGATTCACTGTCTTTTTCTTTTTTTGTTTCTGTTTGATTCTCTTTTTTTCTTCTACTGTTATTTCATCTTTGAGTTTTTTTAAATGTTTAACCTTTGACATGAACACACCTCCTTTCATGTGTTACAGAGATGTTGGTGAGCAGTGCTAAAGCAGACTTCACACTACAGGATACAAACAGGAACACAGCATTGCATCTGGCTTGCAGCAAGGTAACAATTCACAGAGACAGGAAGTGCTTTTGTATTGACTGGCCATAGTGTGACTTTTGGTGATTAAGATGTCCCCAAAAATCTCTTAATCACCCATTCAGTGTTGGTCATCAGGTGGCTGCTGAAAAAGTGCATTTCACATAGTAATGAGGATAAAAACATTTTTTAGTGAGCTGTCCCTAAATATACATGTTAAAAAGAAGAAGTATACAACATGTACTATTGGTCACCTCTTTGCTCTCTGTACCTCTCAGGGTCAAGAGACGAGTGCCTTGTTGATTCTAGAGAAGATCAGCGACAAGAACCTCATCAACAGCACCAACACTGCTCTCCAGACGTAAGAGTATTCCCAGGATGCACCAGGGTAATCTGCTTAATTCAGACTGCTTTTATTTGAACCTCACCCACCCTCCTTCTTGTTGCAGGCCGCTGCATGTAGCAGCGAAGAAGGGGCTGACAGTGGTGGTTCAGGAGCTGCTGGGGAAAGGAGCCAGTGTGTTAGCAGTGGACGAGAACGGTCAGATTTCACTTTACTGCACATCCCTCACTACTCACACATACTGCCACAGTGAGACGTGAACTTCTTCTTGATTTTTCTTTTATGCGTAGGTTACACTCCGGCTCTGGCATGCGCTCCTAACCGAGATGTGGCCGACTGCCTGGCGCTCATCCTCAACTCCATGATGCCCACCTCCCCCATGGTCACCATTGCAGCTTTGCCTGCACTTTCTCTTACTCACACAGTCATCAACCACCACCCCACCAACAACCACGTCTCTAAAGGCGTGGCCTTTGACTCTCTTCCCCCTCTGAGGCCGGACCACGCCTCCTACTGCAGACCGGAGCGCCTGCTGTCTTCCATCACCGGGGAAGATGAACTGAATGACTCAGATTCAGAGACGTACTGAGGACATACCTGCTATTGGACCGAGCCCTACACTACTGGCAGACTAGCCAGCCACTCAGGAGCCTTAAATGATAACTGACAAAAAGCTAAAAGAGAGAAAACAGACGGGAAATAGAGCAGACATGCAGATTATTTTTAGATAAGCTTCTTCAAATCTAAAAAGAACCCCTTGTCTTACACCATGTTTCTCTTAAGGTCACACGGGGTAAAAAATAATGTACTAGAATATAGAATAATGTGAATACGGACTACATTTCTCTCAGACAGCATCACTGTATGGTCTGTAACATGGCCTATATCTTTTTCAATGTAAAGCAATGTTGTTTATTCTTTTTGAAATGAAGCTCCTTCTCTTTGCTGATACTTCCTGGAGTGATTTTAAGCCTTTTCACAGTTTTTTCTTCAACTATTATTAGAAGAGCATCTACCGGAAAAAAGCTCAGTGTACTGCTTTTATTCTTACAATTGTCTAAAGAAAAAAACAGATGGAAAATGTAATGGGACCAGGAGATTGATAGCTGTTTTCCCTTACTGTACTTTTGAGTTTTTATTCAGAGCCTTCATGGAAGACGGTCACAGCTGTCGGTCACGCACACTTTATTGTTATTGAACCACTTTTCAATTCCTAAGAGAGGAAATTATTATTGAATCCTATGAATTTATTCCAAGTGGAAATGGAATCCCTGGGAGCTGATGAGGACAGCAGATGGATGGAAGATTCAGTGTATGATTGGTCCAGGATTTGATTGATGACCCGAATGAGCGGCTCAAGGTACTTGTAACCTGCAATGCTGTAACTACTCAATGTCTTTGTACTGTACTGTAGACAGAGGAAAGTGGCTGACACTGTGTGTGTGTGTGTGTGTGTGTGTGTGTGTGTGTGTGTGTGTGTGTGTGTGTGTGTGTGTGTGTGTGTGAGAAATTAATAAATATTGCCTTTTTAGGAACAAGAAACTTTCAGACAGAGATGAATAATACTGGCGCATTGTTTGTAAAGATTGTAAGTAATTAACAAATAAAGATATTCGTTTTTGATTTATCTCAGTTAATGTCTGACAGAAGACAAATGTTTGATTTTGCACCCTGTGGTTTGTTTATAACCTTACATTAGCCTTTTAATTCTGGCGATTGCATTTACATGCTAAAGTAATTTGTGGTGTTAATTTTTTAAGACGATCCTGCTGAACAAAACATGTAAGTATCATTAACATGTTTGCCACAGATCTTAATTTTTGGACGATTCCAAAATCGAATTGAACAATCCCAAACCTTTTTTAGGATGACCCGCTTGCAATGGGGGTCATCCTAAAAAATTAAGTCATCCCTTCACCACTCTATTGGACCAAGCCTTCACTGTCAAATAATACCATTGTTGTGTATAATAAAAGTTTGATAGTTCATATTGTAACGTTGTTTTAGAACACCCTACGGCAGGGGTGTCAAACTCAAGGCCCGCGGGCCAAAACCGGCCTGCGACCTCATTTTACGTGGCCCGCAAGAGCTACCAAAGAATATCATATACAATACATTTGGTGTAATTGTTCAATATTTGCTCTCAATTACTTGCCCTAGACTTCTACTTACAGACTTAGTTATTTATGAATTTATTACCAGAACTGATAATAATCCAATGCAGAGCCAATAATGTAATATAATACATTATTTTATATATATTATATATTTATATATGTATATTTATATAGTCTTAAAGTTACAACAGGCCCTTTGAGTGCAAACATAATGCTAGTGTGGCCCGCAATGAAGTTGAGTTTGACACCCCTGCCCTACGGGAACTTCATATCCAAGCCACAGGATCATCTTAACTATGTGAAACCTTAGCTGTCAGTGTATTTTCATATCAATATTCTCTTGCTGTTGAGTCAAGTGGTCGCTCTTAATCAGCATAACATGCCTTCTATTATATTTTGAAGCTAACCATCATCATGAGGAATGTTGAGATTGCACATCTGATTAACATCATAACCCTTATTTAAAGAAAAAATACAATACAGACTCGGCAAGAGGTACCTTGATGTATTGTATGGACTTACATACCTCCAGTTACGAATGTTATGGTTGTACAATTATTTTCTATTAAGTGTTAAATTGTCCATAAATCTGCAACTCTTTAGCCTTTTTTTCAAATTGACAAAAAGCAAGTTCATGTTACCGAGTCTGTCATTTTATTCATTGTCCAGGTGATACATTCGTCCGTACAGACAGGCAGTGACCAGCCCACCGGTCATGTTTGAGTGTGTCATGGTCACTGTGCCATCTGGAGCTGTTTCCAGTTGCTTTGGCCGCTCCAGGACAAACTTGCTGGCCAAAACTGATGGATACACATATCTGGACCCAAACCTCCCTTCCAAAACAAAGTCAAATTTAGACTCAGCCTCTTGTACTTTCTGTCCACAGGAACTGGGGTCCAACCCTGCACAGCGGAGGAGTGCACACACCTGCAACATAATAATGCATTTTAGAAGAGGCAGTTTAAAATATTACAATTAATTTTTTCCAATGTATACCTGGATGAAGTAGATTCCATGGTGTTTCCCAGCAAATGCTCCCAATGCGTAGAGCTCTTTACTGTCACCCTGTTGTATCTGCCGGTACTGGAGGTTGCAGCAAAATTTGTCATTACACACCTTGACTTCGCCCTCTGTCTCCCTCAAGGGGACAAATGTAAGTGGGTCGTATGTCACGGATGAGTTAAAGGTTTCAGGAGCTGTATGGAGAAGATGTGCAATATATATATGTATATATATACATATATAAATAGCACATCTATTTACGATATATATATATACATACCTGACAACATTCCTGGTTCAAAGGACTGCGCAGCTGAGCTCACAGATATCCTCACAGACATCTTCAACATCTCCCTGAGCCAGGCTGTTGTTCCCTCATGCTTCAAGGTAACCACCATCATACCTGTACCGAAGAAGTCATCACTTTCCTGCTTCAATGACTAGTGCCCCCTTAGCGCTGACTTCCCCCATCATGAAATGCTTTGAGCGGCTCGTCATGAAGCAAATAAGATCCACCCTCCCTCCCTGGATCCGTTTCAATAGGATATCGAGCGAAGCAGTCCACTGAGGATGCAATCTCCTCTGCTCTCCACCCAGCCCTCTCCCACCTGGACACAAAAAAACTCTTATGTTAGGATGCTGTTCATAAACTTTAGCTCAGCGTTCAATACCATCATCCAGCAGCTGGTTTGTAAACTAGCAAACCTGGGCCTCAGCCCCTTTCTCTGCAATTTGCTGGACTTCCTCACTGCCAGACCCCAATCTGTACAGGTCAGCAACAACACATCAGGCACCATCATACTGAGTACGGGGGCCCCCCAAGGATGTGTGCTCAGCCCCTTGCTCTTCACCCTGCTGACCCACGACTGCACACCCACCCACAGCTCCAACCACTTCATCAAGTTTGCGGTTGACACAACCGTGGTGGGTCTCATCAGCAACAACGACGAGACCAACTACAGGAGGGAGGTGAACCAGCTGGCCACGTGGTGCATAGACAACAATCCCTTTCTCGATGTGGAGAAAACAAAGGAGATTGTTGTCGACTTCAGGAGAACCGACACCCAACACCCCCACCCACTGACCATCGTGGTGCTGCTGTGGAGCAGGTGGAGCAGCACCAAATTCCTGATGAACATCACCGGGGACCTCTCCTGGAGTAACAACACCACGTCAATCACCAAGACAGACCAGCAGCGCCTATACTTCGTCCGAAAACTGAAGAGAGCAGGAGCCCCCCCCCCCATCATGCTCTCCTTCTACCGAGGCGCCATCGAGAGCATCCTCAGCAGCTGCATCCCCTTGGAAGCTGCACAGCATCCAACCGCAAGGCCCTGCAGCGCATTGTGAACACTGCTGAGAGGATCATCGGTGCTTCACTCCTATCACTCCTGGACCTCTACAACACCCGCAAAGCACTCAGCATTGCTGGTGACCCCACCCATCCCTCCACCTGCCTCTTCACCCTCCATCCCTCCATCCCTCCACCTGCCTCTTCACCCTCCATCCCTCCATCCCTCCACCTGCCTCTTCACCCTCCATCCCTCCACCTGCCTCTTCACCCTCCTGCCCTCAGGGAGGAGGTTCCGCAGCCTGTTTTTATTTTCGGGATTGTTGGAAACAGTATTTAAATCTCTCTGTCTGTACACACAAACTGAAAGATTGACTTGACTGGTTGTGTATTTTTTAAATTGTAAATTGTGTAATTCCTACTTTTACCTTTAATATTTGTATGCATGCTTCTTAATTAACATTAAGCTATCTTTGGCTCTTTAATTGCTGTAACAAATGTAAATGTCCCCCTCGGTGGGACGAATAAAGGTATTCTGATTCTAATTATTCTGAGGAGGGTGATCCAAACAGATTCCTTAAGTGTAGATGATGTGGACTCACCCCCAACTAACCCCTCCTCTGTGTCCACACTCTGCCCCGCCCACAGTGGGTCTAAGACTGGCACCCTGGCCACCAGCAGCATGCCCTCCTCTGGGTCTCCTTTCTGGGCGTGGTGGTACGTAGCAGAATAAGGAGTGTAGATGCCACTTCCTGTCATTGTCTTGTATCCATGGGTAAGGGGGACGTTTTCTTTACGAAGGTTTGCCGCAAGCAGGGTGACCTTAGCACCTAAGCTAAATGCACTCTGGAACTGAACTGAGTCCAGCAAAGGGAGCGAGTTGAGCCAGCCTGTGGGGTAGATCAGCTGATGCACACCCTGAAAGAGAGGAGGCCCTTTTCAGAAAGAGAGCAGACCAAAGAGAACTGTAGCGTTGGGTACAGAAAATTAGTGGCTGTTTTTCTACCTTCTCAACCAGTTCAATTGTAGGCTTGTAGAACAGGATATCAAAACAGGTGATGAGACCAAACCTCCCAGCAAAAGGTGTATCAAACGTTATGATCTCAGGTTGCGGCGGCTTGTCAAAGGATTCTTCAAAGTAGAGGTTTTGTTTATGGTATCGGGCCACCAGCAGGCCATCTGAACTGTGCGGAAGAAGATTGTGTGGAAAGGCTACTTAGAAAATTACGTATTGGTGCACTTGTTGGACTACAGCTAATCTAAACTTTTTATTTAATCTATTTTTACCACTTTACACTAGCCTCAGACAATGCTTTAAACAGGAAACAGAAGCCATTCATTTTGCGTTTTTGTAATTTTGTAATCATTTCACTTGCAGAAGTGGGAGTTGATTGTCAACCGCTGCCTGGTTGGGCTAAGTTGTTTGCGTTATCACCCAACTTTGGTGTTTTAAAGTGTTGGTACAGATTCATCAAAGTCACTCAATAATACAAATTAACTAACTGATCAAAGAAATGTTAGTCAGCAACCCCTGTGTTTCTCAAAGGTAAAATTACAGTTTTTGTCAAAAAAGTATATTTGATGGGAACAGAGCATTGATAATGACTGTTGTAAAACGGAAAGAGATAACTGCTGAAGAATCTGACCATCCCTTTACATTTTGCACTGTACCTGAAAACCACGTTGGTGTTGAACTGCCAATGTCCATCAGGGGGACAAAAGGAGGAAGGGTCAGTCTTCAGGGGGCAGGGCTGCAGGTCGGCCATGTTGGCCACGAGGTAGAGGTTGTAACGACGGGCCATACAGCTCAACCTCTGGAGAACCTGCGAAACAAACACAATTAAATGTGGTTTTTATTCTCATAATAACTGTTGCATCACTTAAGGCTCTTGGGTGACTCCATGTCAGAGTATTGTGTTAAGCTGCCTCCAAATTACATGTGATGTGTTCTTTGCTCACCGCAAGGTAGGGCACACATCCTTGTAGTGAAAAAACAGCTAGTTACTTTTGTTTATATGGCAACATCCCCTGCTTGTCAGTGCCATTTAATACAGTTGTACGTCAAAATGATCAGTGGCATTTGTGGACTATGTTTAAATATGTGTAACTTTGAACCCACCGCTAGGCTGGCGGCACCCCTCTCCATAGGAACACAACGGTACAGCCCGATCAGATATGTGTTGCCGCTGAATGTGTGAAGGCATCTTAAGAATCTTGTTCATAACATCAGATCTGAAAGTGTGATTGTGCACCTCAGTGTTGTTGTATTTCCCCGGCTCTGTGCAGGGGTTCCAGCTCTCCTCCTGGGGGTCAGGAATGGTTTCCAGGTAGTTAAAGATGGACAACCGACTGAAGTTGAAACCCTGAATACCATCTTCTGGAAACACCAGGATTTGGACACCCTGACCAAGTGAATATTGGGGGAAAGTAAAGAGATGAAACAACCTATTACTCTACTGTAATCATGAACTGTGTGACAGTACATGTGCTTCTTTATGTGAGTTATGTAGGGAATTTTAGCTCTGAGTGAGGATTAGCTTAAAAGAGTCCAGGAAGTTTATTTACAACTTGTAATTGTAAATTTGTACAAGTCATCTTTGATATTAGAACCATCAAATATAAAGTTGTCTAGGATCTAGGCTTCCTGTGTGGATTGAATTTCTTAAGTCAAAGACGTAACTAGTCCCGGTATTTAATATGTTCCATCGGATGACAGTCCTAATGATAATTTTATTTTTCCTGTAGAAATTTAGTACTATCATCCCATAATGTTCTGTCTGTACATAACATTGACTCAGTAGTCCTCACTACTGAGGCCTTCAAAGAGGACATATTACCATTCGCCTTATTTTAGTTATTTACCCCGTTTGTAAGATGATGGCTTAACCTGGTTTCAGTCCAACCTTTACAAACTTTACACATACAAAAAAAGGGGTTTTGGAAACAGGTATATATAAAACATGGTATAGACTTAATGGTGACATTTCTCTGTCTGTAAAAACATATAGCATAAAAGGTCTGACATAACCTTACAAGAAGGAGAATGGTTTTTACCGTGATGGCTTTGTATCTTGGTGTGTGACATCATTGTTAGTAATAATTGGACAATCACTAAAAATGGAAGGGAATAGATTTTAACAATAAAAGTTGTTATAAATAACTCGCGCAAAAGGTGTTAATTGTAATTATTATTCACTTAGAAGAAATAGTCTCAAGTTAAATATGTAAGTATTTTTAGTATTTACGTTTGGAATGAAACATTTGTCGTATTATGACTAGTACTAACTAAGTCTCAACTACTAACAACTTTTAACTTTATGTAATTTGGTTAGTCATAGTATAGTAAAATCAACTATTAGTATATGAACACAACGTGTGATTTGTGGGGTTCAGGAGTTGCGAGTGAATAACTGCGGCGTTATATAGATAATAATCGCTTACAAATTTACTGATTTATCTATATATTCTTCTAACATTTTGATTTGAAGTCTTTGCTGTCTGCACTGAACTGGGGCGGGGAGCCAGCAGCGATTTCGGTTATCTCTTCTGACTGCCTACTATTTATGCAGTGCAGAGAAAAGGTCGGTTGGGAGTTGCCTCCCTCGTCTGGCCCGGCAAAGGAGTTAGTCGCTCCAATGACCGAAACCACAGCCACGTATGAAGGTTCAGTGAAGGACAGTCTTTGCTGTCGTTCATATAGAAGGTTCGGTGCCGAAGGCCTTTTGTTTCTCTTACCTTGTCCGATTTGTTCACACGGTGAGAGAGATTGCCAAACTTGTATTTGACATGGCTTATTTATGGAGTGCTACAGATAGATTAATACTTTGAACGGAAATGAAAGTGCCTTGTGTAAAAACCACTATTGTTTACCGTTGTTTCATTGTATAAATGGTGGTACAAGATGGTGCGGTGTGTATGAATGTACATCATACACACGACACGACGCGCCAAGTCGGTAAGAGGCGTTCCCAAAAACTTTTAACCAGGCACGCGTTGTAACACCCCTAAACTCCTGCGCGTTCAATTGGGTACACGTCGGAGCTTTAATGGGGTATGGTTCCTGGACCGAGCCACCTTAAGGTTCATACGACCTCTAACCTTGTCAGGAAGCGCCGTGAGCTACTGCATCATAGGAACTTTATAACGAACCTTCGGTCAAAGGAGCGCTAACCTCTTTGCCGGGGCCGACTCAGTGATCCACAAAGAGTTACCCCCCATCTCCTGCGAATGAACCATCGTGTACAGAAAGGCTCGGTCTTCGCTCCGTTTTAGTAAGGGATCGGAGCTTTTCGCTTCCTTTAACACCTTGTCCACACGTACCACACGCAGTATACGCTCCCGGGGCGGAATTTACCTCGGGCGTAAAGGCTGTTTCTAAAACCTTAATCAGGCACGCGTTGCGTAACACCCCTAAAAATTCCGGCGCTCAATGTAGTACACGGTGGAGCTTTAAAGGGCGATGCTTCATGCAGCCGGAGACCATCTTACAGGTATCGACGTAGAGTGAGCCAATTTACCTAAGGAACGCAGGAGTGAACGCAGCAAAGGGACGCTGATCGAGGGAGGGTGGTCCCTTCGTACCCTCTGCGTTCCTTTGGAGTGCTCTTGCGTCCCTTTAATCAAAAATTCTCGTTACCCTTGCAGCAAAAGGAGGCCTCGCAGTGACTTCGCCTGCAGTCAACCACTACCTGCGGCGTGTCGACCTAGCGGACTGGGTCGGTCTAGCATTTACGTGACGTAGCAGGTTAGTCACTCGCTATGGTGTTATTCCCCCGCCCCGCTACACAGACTTCTTAAAGGTGGCCTCCTACCAGACCATCAAGGAGCTAATGGCGAGGAGGCAATAGTGAGGAGCAGGCAGGGGCCGTTTTATTCCGGGACCTGCCATGACGTTCTACCGCGTCTGTTTAGTTGAGGCAACTATGGCTTCGGAGCTCCTCGCTCCTTAATTTTTATTCTCTTCACTACTGTGTGGGGTTCATACGAACCTGTAACCTTGTCAGGAAAGCCGCCGTCGAGCTACTGCATCATACGACCCTCGTCGAAGGAGTGTACACTCTTTGTGGGGTGGGTGACGTTTAAGTAACATAGGTACAAATTAATTTG